ACTCCTGTTATGTCACATTTGTGCACCAAATGAAGCCCTGGAATGGTAGCAAAATTTCATCTACAGAGGTGCATGCTTGTAAACCCTAGAATAGGCCATGTACCATGTAATACCCCTGGATTTGAGCAATATGAATGAGTCAGCGGGACTGCCGTTTTCGCCTTCAGAGTGTTGCCATGCCCCGTGGTCTTCCAAATGGCGATCTCTAATGCGGAGTTCCTGTGTGTGCGGCTGCAATTGTTACAAGCGAATCATTTGAGCTTCGGTTGAATTATTCATTCTCAGAGTACCCGTGGATAGTTTTCGTACGGATGTTCATGCGTTCGTTTAAGAATTTTATCCGGTTTCTAGCTGGAACCCTCTATTCGAAGTCTTAACTTCTGGCATTGTGGAAAATCTATTCCAGGAATCAGGATAAGAAGGACCGGTCGTACTCCGCAGTACAGGATTTGAAGGTGTGAAGTTCTAATATTTATCATGGATCGTGAGGACGGATTCAATCGGAGCAGAGGCAGTGAGGGACGTGGTGGATTTCGTGGACGAGGGTAAGTCGGTCGTAGTACCTTAGTTTGATTCAGTGAAGGATCAACGATGATTCTCCAGGCGTGGACGTGGAGATTTTGACAATCGCAATTCTGGCCGAGGATTTCGAGGAGGATTCCGGAGCGGAGGTAATATTTATCATTTTTACCAATCAAATAGTTTTGACCATTCGGTTTTTCAGACCGTGAAGGTTATCGTGGTAGAGAAGACTTCAACTCGAGGGATCGAAACCCCGGGGATGATCGTCGTGGTTCCTTCCGTGGTGGATTCAATCGTGGGTTTTCTCGTGGAGGATTCAGAGATCGTGCTGACCGGGATCGTAGTCCTATTAGAGATCGTAGGTATGAGGGTGATGCGACAAGGGAATTCAGGTACATTTCACAGTCATTTCTCTCGTGAATCAGCCTGGTCTTTTGCATATCTCCTGAAACATTTTCCCGTCAATTTTAAACCCTACATTGGTAATTGGTATGACACCAGTACCTACAATGCCGTCAACTCGCTGTCCTCCTTCCCGAATCTTCAAGATAAATTAAGATAATAGTATGTTACATTCGAAGCTTCCCATTTTATTTCATCGCATGGTGTGTCCGTCGTTGATCGTTTTAGGCCGAGAAACGATTCATTTCGTGGACGTCGCGATGGCGAAGGGGGACGCGGGGGATTCCGCGGAAGTTTCAGAGGTGAATCTCGTGGCTTTCGTGCTCGTGGAGGAGGTGGAGATTTCCGCCGCGAAGGTTTTTCGGGAGATCGGAACAAAGGGTTTGTTGATTGCTGATCCTTACATGGGGTGAAAGTATTTTATTTTCAGTCTTTTTTATGTTGTTATATAGAGGTGATCGGCGTTCTGAGTGGGTTGATCGGAGCCGTGACGATAGGAGAAGCAGTTGGGGAGATGCTGAAGCCAAAGGTGGGCCCAGTGTGAGGTGAGTTCAAAGGAGTTCGTACAGTATAGAACTTTGGTATTTTACGAGTTCTGATGTATGCAGGTCCTACGGTGCCAGCGGTGACAGCTATCGGAGGGATCCTCCTTCAAGGTGGGCCTTGAATTGAATATTTTAATGGTTTATTAGTCGCGAAGTGTAGATATGCCTCCTAGCGCTGATCCAGGAATTCTAGGGAGAAGTTGAAGCTGATTGCTAACCTGATGGAAAAGCCTTTTTTCACCCTTCACGATCATCTTGGTATGTGATCGCCAAGGGCTCCTCTAAGAGTTTTAGTGGAGTATTTATTCCAGTCTAAAGCTTCCCCCGCTGAAAACCGGGACTGAAGATAGAACTCAAATGATGTGACATTCTATGGTGATATTTTAGTGGATATGGCGAACGTTCAAGCAGAGGTTACGGCACTTCTGCACCTGGAGATGCCCCTGGTTCACGGTGTGTATATTGTGCTTGGTGTTCGTGCTATCGCTTGAGTGTCCCCGAAAGAACCCACACGCCAATACCATGTGTACTGCAAATGTATAGTACTTGGAAAATCTCATCCCTCTAAGTATAACTTACTAGAAAACATTCAGGACCCCTGCGATCCCGCGTCCGTCCGTAGATTCCGTATGCTCTCAGAATGTTAGGGTAATTTAGGCGATACTCCACGTTTCTTGTTCTGCCAGTTGAAGGCTGTGCCAGTTTCCTGTGAAAGGTAAGAAAGAATGATGAAAACGTGGCGATGCATCGCTGTGAGGTGATTTTGTTCAAATGACGGGACAATGTAGAGATCGGTCACGAAGTGGAAGGGGCGTCAAGAAAAAGAAGGTATCTTCAGGAAACGTATTCCTCGGCATTTGCCCTCGCTTTATGCGATGGGTGTGAAACGCTTACCGTTTACTGTCGAGAGCAGTATTTGCTGCGAAGGACGTCGATTGCTTCAAGACACTCGAGATTATTTCAAAGAGCCAACTACGGTATAGTACTTGTGAACCTACGAATTTATGTACAGTACTGTATATCATCCCCGAGAGGTCCCCTATACAGTAATGCCACGATTCAGCTGAATGTCAGGCTACGATTATGCAGTTCTTTGACCAATATTAGAACTTGTGCCTCCCCGATTGATTGTGTGACTGGAAAAATGTGATCGGACATGAATCACTGCGGCCATGAGCCGGAATCAGTCTGACAAAAACCGTGTTGAAATCCGTGGGTTGCAGCTATGAGTCCTCGTACGGGGACGTGCACGATCGAAAATCGCAGGAGGTGAAGCCGTTGTTGAGCCTGCCGGCCTCCTCGTCTTACGGCTACAGAAGCAGTCCAGTCGATTCTGCCCTACCTTCGTCGGACGTTGGGTTTCCCGTCCGCCCTGCGCACGACGGATACCGCCAGAAATATTGAGAGCCACGACGAACGCGATAATCTCAACCCTCGATGAAAGATTCATTTGAAAAGTTAATGCGGAATCGGAGGAAGGTGTGAATGCAACTTTGCTGTAGAACGCTGAGAACGAAGGAAGCCCCCGCCTGCGGGGTCGAAATACGTTCGAAGCATTTGCTTGAATAGTAAAAAATCGAGTGACCGGTCGTTTCTCTTTGAGCTGTCTCTCTGACGTTTCCCATTTGTACATAAAGAAAAAAGAACGAGAAAAAACCTCGGAAGTGGTACATTGTACACTTGAGAAGAAAAACTCCTCGATGAATGCTGTCATCATCACTGATCTCATGTCCCGAACATTTAATGCAGGATTAACAACCTGGTGTGTCGTGACTTGGCGATCTTGTCGCTCGTTTTCAGGAATGATACTGGCTATACGTTTTTTCCTGTAAACTTGTGTTGGACAAACTTGAAAGCTTAGTAGATCAGTGTGTATAGGAGGTTGACGGGGAGTTGTGTGTTTGACGGAATGGATATGAATGAAAAAACCCGGATGAAATACATGAAATATCAACCGGTTTTTTGCACTGGAGAGAACAATTGATTGCGAAGCGATCGTGATAGGCTCTTATGCCGCAGAAGCAAAACATCGGCCCCTAGCTGGAAGGGCTGGTGGCTATAAAATGAACGGAAGAAAAGAATCCACGAGCACTACAGTCGACGACTGAAGGTTGAATGTGCTAAGTTTCAGTGAAGATGTCCGGGTGTCTTTTTGGGATGCTCCGTGAAAAAGAGCACGAATCATCATCACTCAAGGTTTTCCCTTTCCGGTACTTGCAGGGGTCTGCGTCTCCCTTTTCTTTTCATGTCATGGCTGACTTCTGGTGGTGAATTTTGTGTATCATGCGTGAGCTGTCTTTCCCAGACAACCTTGCACAGTTGGGAGCCGACAATGACTGGAAAAGTGTAGAACAAGCAATTGAACCGGGCTTGCGGTAAACGCTTGAATTGGTCCATCGGTTCGTTTATCACATTGTGGAAGAGTTATTTTCTTGTAGGTGCTTGGTTACTAGTGCTGAAGCAGAAGAGTTGGTTGATACAGTTCGACTGCGAGTGAATAAAATCGAACCTGTTTCTGCCGTTCCTGGCGCCTTTGCCGCTATACACTTCTTGCTGTGGAGCTCCTCCACGGCAAAAGATGATGCGAAGCTCCTGAAAAAGCTACTTTGGGTTGGTAGGTTCTCCGATGATCGTGATTTGTATTAATTGACGATAGTTGAGCGTAATTCATCGTCATAACGGAATTTCTTACTAGCGTATAATATTTTGACCCGACAGGATAGTCGTTTTTCAATTCACTATACAGTATGTGCGATTCCTGGTGCAAAAGTTCTGCCTGTACAGTACTTAACACAGTACTCGATTCCAGTGCTGTTCATACGTATCAATCATTTCAACAGATTTCTCGACATGAATAGATTGATTAACCCAGTGCTGTAGACAGTTATCCTTAGAAGTCCTGTAGTCCAGAAGGCACTTGGAATTTTTAAGTCTAGAATGGTCAAAACCAATACGGATGACTGGACGTGAAGAGAACCTTCTGTGAGGTTTGCTACCTCAAATGTCATCAAATTTTTTTTCACTTGTCAACATTTCTCTTCGCAACCTATGAACCTACTCATGAAGATTCGTCTCATCTGGATTGTAAGCGTCCAAGCACTCCACATTGAGGGCTTTTTCGAAGGTAATTGCGTTTTTTTTCAGACCTTCAACGAACTACGGACTTATTGGATGCAGTACGAGTATTGTAGCTATTAAGTCGTATTCCGTGTAATACCGGTTACAATAAACTCATTTTTTTAGGATACTGTACTTGGATCGAAAGTCTGTATGATCACTAAAAGAGCTGTAAAATGTTCGAATTTCTAGTCGATGCGAATGTATGACTGGCAAGACTTTGAGACCAATCTTGGTGTGTAAATTATAAATTCGAGATTGACTTGGAATAGTATCATTCGTTGTATTCTGTTAGGATCGGATCCAGACTTAGCCAGCGGAGGAGCTGCAGGATGGAAACCGTCTCATTATTGCGCAGCGAAAGGCTGGATTAATTGTCTGCAAGCCTTAATCGACGCAGGCATTGACTTTGAGGCCGAGTCTGCAAGACCCAAAGAAACTCCTGTAGTGGTTGCCACGAGGAACAAGCAAGTTACCGCATTACAACTTTTGGTGCGTTGTTTTCGATATCCCTAGTTGACTTTAACTTGGAGCAATTGTGATTCCGGCTTACTTCGAAAAGAAAGAAGTGCTGCATCCTTTAAAACTTGTGATGGGTATAGTTTCTACTTTCTAGCCGTCATCGCCCTCGTATTCTCATTTTTCTGATGACGAATTCGAAGTTAAACGTTTAGCCGCATAAGTAACGAAAGGGGCTTGTTCTTCTGCTGGGTATGTAATGTGAAATGCACACCTATACACTTCGTCATAAATCGAATCAGCTTAAAGTGCAGTGCGAGCGGAATGTTTCTTCGACGAAATTCAGGGGACCATATAGATTTTGCTGTTGACAGAATGTTGTAGAAAACCCCCATGCGACCCAACAAATTTCTTTCGTATGAAGTCATTGTAGAGAGAGTCCACCTGTATTATCTTCGGATAATTATCGATTTCAATCGTACAACCGTCTTTATCCATTGGCAGACGAGTGCATATTTTAACCGCGATTCTGATGTGATCTGGAAAATTCTTTCTTCATCAAGTCTGAACCATGAGTCAGGATTTTTGAAGTTCGCTCAATAATCATAAGTTGTTTTTTAGCGGTTCTCGTTTTAGTCAGAGGGATGATCGAATACTGAAGTCTGTATGGATGTACAGGTGTGCTCTCTACGATCATCTTGTCTACAACGATTTTCTTTTTGCAAAATTCTTATTTTTATGTCTCGAAGGGTTCTGTCCCCGTGTTATATTTGTTCCCTACGGCGAAATTCTCCTTGCAATGAATTTTTCTCGTCCCTTGAGTTTTGTTGTAGACGCAGTCCACCTGTAATTCTTGATGAATGTTCACATGCTTTACAGAGTTCACACGAAGTGCGATCGAGCCAACTTCGAATATTTTCGGGAAAGTTGCATCCATCTCCTTCAAGATATGATAATCTTTAATCCCTACACACGTATTAAATTTAAACTAAAGTACTATTCAGTCATTTGTAGGTGATCTCATAGTACCCGTCTGTATCACGCTGCCCCAATGGATCCAAGTCATGCTCTGCTTTTTCGCGTTCACGTCTTTCCTTTCACCCGTTTTATACATTTGAGAAGTTCAGGTCATGTTGCAATATTTTTTTGTCCTTCCATTTGCTTTTGCAACAGCTTCGGACCATTTTCACCAGACTGCATTGTATGGAGTCGATTGTCTCTACTAATCATTCCCTTTACCAAATGAACGTACTGCGTAGGCAGTTATGGCATCGCTTGATGTGTGATGATCCGATTGTAACTGTAGGCGTACGCAAACTTTTTTATTTTTTACAAGCTTCACGATTCCCGCGTATCATAGAATTGTTTGGACCACACTTGTTCGTATCGTATTTTTGCATCTCTTGACTTAACGTGACAAAATTCACTTTCCTGTGGAGATTATGTTCGCTGTGAAATGGGGAAAATCGTTTTAATTCAGAAATCATCATCTATAAGCATGGTCTGATTTCTGATGGACTCCCATTTCAATTGTAGAATTTTGTTCAACTGAACGGTACATCTTCGCGAACAATATCTCAGGATTGAGTGTAACACCATCCGTGTTAACTGGACTTGAATGTAGGCCGTTGGAGGAGATTTCTCATTCGTTTGAAAAGATGTCATATTTGTTCCCAAGCTGGCATCAATTAAACCAATGCGAGTACGAGCTTTTGCGACTATTTTTTTAGACGGATGGCTTTTCGTATCGTTCACGTCTCGCAAATCTCGAACGCTAACGACATTTTCGAAGTATTCGTGGAAGCACATTCTCAATTTAATCTAAAAATTGTTCAAAATTGGAATACCTCGCAAATAAGATATTGATCCGCATTTTTGAATTGCCAGATCTATAAAAAAGTTCGATTCTATTCGATTATCTCTTTTTTTATGCGAAAGAACAGAGAAAGTGTCACGTCTAGCATGAAATCCGACCTGTCTGCTATCTTGCAAAATTACTAAGACACGGGAATCGCTTTCTGTTGTGTTTGACGAGTTGGAAAATACAGTAAGCTTTTGTTCACGTTTCCGAAGAATGCAGGGAAGCTGGGAAAGTACAAGACAACGCTTCGTGTTCCACTAATGGGGCTGTTAGAGGCATACTTGGCGGTGATTTTTTCGCAGAACTGTATTCCGGTGATGAACGGAGTAATCAGAGGTGTAGGCATTTTAATGTCTATCTCATGCGCTGATGACCACAACACAGACGTCTACTCTGCATTAACAACCGATGTAGTGAAGGAATGACCCACGGCTGACCTTTTTTTTGAGGAAGTACTGGTTGCGAATAATGATTTTTAAAAAAGGCTACCGAAGAGATACATACGAGGGTTGTCCCATTTCTGATTGACTCTGGGTATTTCTAGACCATGTATCACTTGGAAAAAAATTTACCATATAGCTCATCCCATGTTAAGTTTCTGGAATTTTTTCAGATTTTTTTCAAGTTTTAAGATTTACTGCTAGACAATAAGTGAAAACTTTCAAGCATTTTCCATCCATGTAAGAAGCTGTGGATATTTTTTCATTCTAGACCAAAAAAATTGAAAATATTTACTTTTTAGAACCATATTTCCTACATTTTCTGTAATTTTCAAAAATTTTCAGTGGTTATCTTGTTTGCCACAACTAAAAAAACCATGTCCATTTTGAATTTTCCCAAAAGCACTTTTCATTTAAAATTATTGTATTCTTTTCTCCTAATAGAATCATCCCTTCTGCTTGTGACATATTTCTTATTACCTTGAGATTTTAGGAGACTTCTGCTTATTTTTTTAATTTTCTGCCTTAAGGTCTGAAGGCAGGATAAAGATAGACCAGTCTAAGCAGTGTTAGATGCTGTCTTTTTTTTGCTGGATTTGTCTCCCTGTTGCACAGAGTTCATCCCTGATTGACATAGATTCCTATAATTTTATTCCAGGAAAAAGTGCTTCAAATCTAAATTTTGAATCATTCTTCATCTCAATTTTTTGAAATTGTGAAAGTACTGATGTATTCCAGTTTTTTTGAATGCAAAAGAAAAACAATTGAATGGAATGCAAAATTCCAGTGTTCTTCCCAGGAATGATTATTTTTGTTGTGGAAGAACAAAAAACTGGGAATGCATCAGTACTTTTACAATTTCGAAAAAATTCAAATGGACAAGGATATGAAATTTACAATTGAAGCCTTTTATCATGGGATAAAATTTATAGGAATCCTTGGGAATCAGGGATGAACCCTGTGCATCAGGGAGACAACTCTAGCAAAAAAACATGGACAGCATCTAACACCTGCTTAGACTATTCTATCCTTATCCTGCCTTCAGACCTTGAGGCAGAAAAAAAAAAACGGAAGTCTCCTAAAATTTCAAGGTAATGAGAAACATATCACAACCAACCAGAAGAAACATATTCCGAAAACCAGGCTTTGGATGATTTTTTGAAGAGAAAAGAAAACATAATTGTAAATGAAAAGTGCTTTTTAAAGAATGCAAAATGGACTTGGTTTTTTATTTGTAGCGAACAAAATAATCATTGAAAATTACAGAAAATGTAGGAAATATTGTTCTAAGAACAAGAAAATATTTTCAATTTTTGGTCTACTAGGATGAACATTTTTGACAGCTTGTGACATGGATGGAAAATGCTTGCCAAAACTGGAAAGGTTTTACTTATTTCTTTCAATAAATCTAAAAACTTTTAAGAAAATCTGAAAAATCTTGGAACCTTTAAATCGGATGAGCTAAAAGGTACATTATTTTCAAAGTGGTACCTAGTGTAGAAATACCCAAGGTCAATCAGAAGTTGGACAACCCTCATGTACTGTACCGTATTATAGCATGGCATGGTACAGTTTGCAATTTTGATGGATATGACATGTGCTCTGAGGTACTTACGGAGGAGCTCAAGAAGCTAACGCTATGAGTTCCTGCTTTGTAGGTGAAAAGTGATAACACGTAATTTTTTTGCGGGCACATTTTTTACTTTTCTTGTGGTCATCTCGAGTGAAATAAGGAATGAACTGATCGCGTGATTCTACGTTGAGGCTTTTATCGCTCTTCTGTACCGCACCTGCTGCATGATTCCGGGTTGGCGTGTCTAGATTTTTGCTTGCAATGCACTGGCAATGATAATTATTTTCGTGAAGAATTTTGCCAACTTCTTCGCTTGGTTTTTTGTCTTTTTTTTCTGCAAATAAACCTTCATTCACAGCGATCATCAAACTTCTTGCGGATCGCATGTGGTTGGTGTGATTTTTCTGATTTTGAAAGCTTGATGCGCTAATTTAAACTGGAAGGGCGTCTTAAGGAGGGAGATTTATAGAGATCAAGATCTTTTTTTACTGGTGACAACGTTGAAAAGATTATCTCTTACTAGTGGAAAATAATCCTGACGGACTTTCCTAACGACCGAAACTATTCGATGAAGATGAAAATGTGCGATTTTTCTTCAGTTGTCCTTCTTTGTTTCGGTTGTTCTAGAACGAGAGCAAATCAGTTGGGAAGAAATCATTGGCGCAATTGTCTTCAGAACAAGCATGGTTTGCTGTTCTGAATCGTCTCAGGAGGCGATTAGTAGCCTTCAACGATTTCGTGGAAACAGTCGACGGAATGACTGCATTACAGTGGGCTGAGTTTCACAAGAGCACTGTTGCAGAGGAGGTTCGGTACTGGTTTGTAAGTTGAAGTTGGTCTGCAGGAATTGATGTATTTTTCTATAAAAAAATTCTTTTCATCTGCTATCTGTACACTGTTCAGCTGTTCCACCCTCCGCGAGATATTAACATACTGGATGGCGATGTTTTTATTTTTTTGTTTTCTCGAATATTGTACTTGATGAAATCATAGTTCGCATAGTTATGATTCATTAATTAGAAACTTTTATTTTATTTTTAGATGAAGTTTCTACCTCCATGCCGCACTCCATTAGCAAGCGAAGAGAGCGAAATGTTGAAACATTTGCGTGTACTCATCGAGAAACAACAGCAAGTCATGAACGACGTTGTGTCCCGTTTGATCGGACTGGAGGCAAAATTTCGAGCGTTGGACGTTCTCAGTCATGGGTCTTCGTCTTCACTGAGTGGAGAAGCCGTGTTAGCCCTGGAAGGAAAACTTGATTCGTTCGAAACCGCTGTCGTGGAACGTGACGCCGTTTTGCACGCTAACCTTGCTCGATTGCAAACGCAAATTGAAGCTTTGAGTGACAAAGTTTTCGAAAAGTAATGGTGAAAATTCAAGTGTCGTGCGTCCGAAGGTGCGTGTTGGGCTGTGAATGTGACCGAATCCTCACTTGTAGAATTGTGTTCGATTAACTGCTGTCTTATTGATCCAGTTTGTAATTCTTAATGAAGAATAACAGGGTGAACAGTGATCGTGCGAATTCATTTATTTTCTTATCGTTTTCATACCACTGCGTATCTTGAATGATCCTTCTTCGCCTTCTTATTTTTGGTCATCCAGACTTCCAAGTGTCACGAAAAATTGTCGATGTCAATGGCCTTGCTTCTGAGTGAGTTATTTTAGCACGAAGTATTTTCTATGCATACCGTATTATTCCTGCGATCGGTTTTAGGTAAGGAATGGACCAAGTTCCAGAACTTCTTCTCCGCTATGAGGTGCAGAGTGATTCTGCTGAGAACTTCAGGAAATCTGCCAGGCTACCTCACTTCGAACTTGTCCGAGCGTCGTGGGACGAAATCGGTTAATAAATTCATGAGGCGATTTTCGAAAGATTTTACTGTACTGAAAGAATTTGCTGTCGATGCGCCGCAAAAGCGACTATTGACGTCTATGCTTTCATCCATCATGCTGTGTGATCCTGGGAGCGGATCGAGTAATAAATACAACCCGGGAAACCGAAATGAGCCCCCGAAAAGACAGAGTGGTGGTGGATCCGACGGCGATGACAAGAACAATATGAATAACCTTTTATTCAAAGCATTGCTGTGGATGATAACAGGTGATATTCAATAGCCTTTTGTTTCAATAATCCTTTTTTTATTGGCCTGGTCAATTTTGCGTGCGTCAGCAAGGCTGATGCTTACACCGAGACGGATATCTGGAGTTGTTGCTTTGTTCGTAGGGTATATGTTCATCGCGTTCCTGTCCGTGGTGTTTCCCAGCAAGAGTCAGTCGCCAGAAAGCATGAGGTACATCTCGTGGAACGAATTCATGCATCAAATGCTGTCTCATGGAGAAGTGGATCATGTCGTTGTTCATCCGGACTTGGACCTAGTGACTGTTGTGTTGCACGAAGGCGCAGTGATTAAAGGAAAACGATCAGACGGTAAAATTTATCACATGAATGTTCCGGATGTCGCTGGATTCGAAGCAAGATTGAGAGAAGCCGAAGCGAAACTCGGGGTGTCCCAGGATTCTGGCATTCAGGTAATGTTCTCCTCAAGTGGTGCCCAAGTTGAATGTGTAAACATTTCTGTCGAAGTCGGAATTATTATCATTCTTTTTCTTACAAGTATTCAGTCCTTCCATTGAAGTTGAGATGGCTCGAAAGGTTATGTAACGCTAGTCCCTCCCCAAACTCGTCATTCCTAAGTTGCCCAAGAATTGCTCTACGTATTTTGAAGTGTTGCTCTTTTCCCACTAAAGGTGGTCTATGACCGATCGTCAGACACGAATATCGTTCGATTCCTGGTTGCCATCGCTATGATCGGAATGTTGGCAATAATCTTGTCGTCTGCGCTTGGGGGCCGAAGCGGGGGCGCTGCAGCGTCGTCAAAGTTTCGGACAGGTTTTGACCCCTTCGGCGGGTTATCGAGAGCTAAATTTACGATTGTGGATCCCTTGACGGGCGAAGGACGAGGGGTCAAGTTCTCGGATGTGGCGGGCTTGAAAGAAGCAAAGCAGGAAATCATGGAATTTGTGGACTACTTGAGAAGACCGAATTTCTATTCTAGTCTCGGAGCCAAAGTGCCTAGAGGTGCACTTTTGCTTGGTCCGCCTGGGTGTGGGAAAACAATGCTTGCGAAGGTTAGTCGCTTTTTTTTGGTGCATTCTTCAGGTTAGTCTCTTTTTTTTGTGAAGCGAATATTTTCAGTATTTTATACCGAAAAATGTGTTCTGATGAGATTTTACTTAACTGTATTTGACTGTTGAATTTCATCACGTTGATCATTGACTGGTTTGTTTTTGGATGTAGCGTAGGCTTTGATTTGTTAATCGGTTAATAAATGAAGGGGTTTTATTGAAGAAGTAGGGGTAAAACAAGATATATGTTAATATTGTGGTTTCTTCGCCAGGCAGTTGCGACGGAAGCAAGTGTCCCGTTCTTCGCCATGAACGGATCGGAGTTCATAGAAATGATAGGCGGACTGGGAGCAGCGCGTGTTCGTGACCTATTCAAAGAAGCAAAGAAACGCACTCCTTGCATCGTGTTCATTGATGAAATCGATGCTGTTGGACGGAAGCGGTCTTCCGGTGGAGCTGGTGGATTCGATGGTTCAACTGGTGAAGGCGAGCAAACTTTGAATCAGCTGCTGGTTGAGATGGATGGCATGGGAACAGTTGGCGGGATTCTTGTGATCGGCGCCACAAATCGGGCGGATATCTTGGACCGAGCATTGTTACGGTACGATTGTGTGTCTCGTCTTTCGTTTATGCCGGACACGCGATGTGATGTGGGGCCCTGACATGCGGACATCCCGAAATGCGTAGTATCCGACTCAGGGACACTTGATGAATAAAAAAATCAGCTACGACATCCAGACGATGTCTCAAGATACGGACACTTCGACAAAATTTCTAGGAAAATTCAAAAATTTAATTTTTTTTAAATGTTGGTATCTCTGGAACAAACGGAGCTATTCATATTCACGAAAATAAAAAATAAATTTATTGCAAATTCACTCTAATCCATAATTCAAACTATGCTAATTTCGTGCTTCTTTTTTCAGAGTTCCTCCATCATCTGAGCGCAGTGTAGAGAGACTTGCGCTTGTTCTCATGTTCTGGGCTTCTTTTCATGCCATAAGATCAGATTCCGTGATTTTTTCGTCTGCGCTGTTATTTTCTGTATCCATTATAGAGGTAAAAAACTATTTTATTCAATTTTTTATTGGGTTTTTTCCTAATTTTTGATCAACCGAAAATATGTTCGTATTGAAGTTTACGGGAAAGTGTGATCTGACATGCCAAAATTCTGACATACGGACAAAGTCAAAGCACCAATTACGTCCGCATCTCGAGGCCCCACTGAACATGTTTCTCTTCACCCTTGAATCCATCTAACCAGACTATATTATCTTTCATGTGAAATTTATTCTTATTTTTCGAAGCAGATCACCTGAATTCTTTTGGTAATGTTGGTCAGTTGAAAATTGGTGGTTGTTGGAAGTGAAACCGCGAACGGAGCTAACCTTCAGTTCCTGATTTATTTCCAGGCCTGGAAGATTTGACCGTCACATTAACATCGATCTCCCGAATTTGATCGAGCGCGAAGAAATTTTCCAATCTCACCTTCGCAACGTCGTGCTGGAAAAACCACCTGAAACGTACGCGAGGCGTCTCGCGTCTTTGACTCCAGGATTCACTGGAGCAGACATTGCGAACGTGGTTAACGAAGGGGCTTTGCACGCAGCGCGAGAAAAAGGCAAGTTTGTTGCGAGTGAAGATCTGGAGTATGCGATTGAGCGGGTAGTTGGAGGGATGGAGAAGAAATCGTCTGCCTTGAGTTTAGAGGATAGAAGAGTTGTTGCATATCACGAGTCTGGTCATGCGCTGCTTGGCTGGCTGCTTGAGCACACGGATGCCTTGCTGAAGGTGAGTCTTGTTGCCCCGCGTGAAAGAACTTTTTCTATTAAGGGAAAATGCGATGTGTGACTGGAAAAGAAGAACAAATTTGAGTCATTATTTCAAGTTGAACCTCGATAGTTCGAACCTATCTAAGTCGAATACCATTATTTAATTTATACAGGGACAAGAAAAGGAATAAAAATTTCACTTGATTCGTTTTGAAAAGAAGTAAAATATTAATTGGGTAAATAAAACCTTACCTTCGATTTCAGCATCCCGTCAACTGATCCAAAAAGCAGTTTAAAGTCCAGAATATCACCAATACAGTTTCCTGTGATTCTTGCTTACTTTTTCCCAAATAAAGATGATTTTTCCTCTAATTGAAACCTCCCTTAAGCAAATTGCTTGTTGGTTCCTCGAAATTCAACTTGAAGATGTTCGACTGTGTCTAAATTTTTCGCTCGTGTACTGCGGAATAGCTAGCTTCAAAAGAACTCGATTAGTCATTGATCTCTCTCTAATGATACTACTGTACTGTATTCCGGCCGAATCAGCTCAGTGCCCTCAACAGTCAACACTCGAGACTAAGATGTTGACTTGAGAGAAGCAAAATTCACTGTGATCCTGTGCTATCTACAGGTGACGATAGTACCTAGGACGCAAACCGCTTTAGGCTTCGCACGGTACGACACGACGGAGAAACGCCTGCTTTCCAAGGAAGAGTTATTCGACAGGATGTGCATGGCTCTGGGGGGCCGGGCTGCTGAGTTGCTGGTATTCGACAGAGCAACCACTGGTGCTCAGGATGATTTAGAAAAGGTATGACGTCTCGGAATACAGTACTCACTTTTGTCACTCCGGTCTCCTTAACATTTACTGCAGGATGAAAAGTGAAAACTTTCCAGTTGCAACTTCGCAAGTAAACTTTTCAACCGTGTTAAAAATTACGAAAAATGTTAGGCAATCCATGTGCTGAAAATGTTTCAGGCCAGCTGAAAAATTCAATTTTGTTGTTGTTTTACTCACTACGTTTTCTATATTCAGATGATGGTTAGAAAAAAAAAGATTTCCGCAGGAAAAACTATTTACTGCATTTATTCAACATTTCCTCCGAAATTGAATGCATGTCTGCCTGTCTTTCCGGCGTCATCGTCGCTGTCATCTAAACGGAAATACAGTAATCGATTGTTGATGCCTGAGATGATTAATAAGCACTATCACCAAAATTATCATGTAGAATTCGCTCCGTAACATGCGGCAGGATTTGGCTGTGAAGTGATGAAACATATCGGTGATAGCTGTCTTTTATAGATTCTGGAAGAATTTTGTTTACGTTGTGTAATCCCGTATTTTCATGAAGTGAACGCTAAGGTAAATTAATGCAGGAGATCGCGGCTACATGAGATTGCTCTTGGAAATTGTCTGAATATTTAAAAATATGTTGTCGAGCGTCAAAATACTAGTTTATTGATGTGCCTTTTTTACATTTTCTGTTTATTGTAGGTTACAAAAATGGCCTACGCCCAAGTCCGTAAATATGGGTTGAGTCCCGCTGTTGGTCCGATTTCGTTCCCAGACACTGACGAAGACTCCCGACTCGGCCGCCGTCCATACAGTAAATTTCTTGCCAATCTCATCGATGCGGAATCCAAGAAACTCGTTACCAAGGCATTCTTGAAGACTCAAGAAATCATGAATGGAAATCGAGAGAAGTTGGAACTTCTCGCGGAACATTTATTGACCCAAGAAGTGTTGAACTACGACGACGTGGAATCACTTATTGGACCCCCCAAGTATCCGAAGAAAAGGCTGTTGGAACCCTCTGAATTTGAGATGGATCTCCAACGAGAAGCTGGCGGTAGCTCGAGTGAACCGAGCGAAGATAGCAGAACGTCGGACGATAAAACCTAGCCTATTCGCATTGTTCTGTGATTAGAAGTTCGATTCTTGATTAGATTTTGGTAATGACCGCTTCGTTCTCTCGTCTTTCAATTTCGAGTGCATTTCGCTTGGAGAAGTCCTTGGTAGTTCGAGCTGAGCTGAACTCTTGAGAGAGCAGAAGGGAATTGCGTTTCCATCTGCGGTTCAATTGTGCTTGAGACGAAAGCTAAGTTGTGAAAGATGTCGGATTTCCGCGCAAGGCTGAGAGAAAATTCCCACATGTCGCCGAAGAATATTATTAAAATTTCTTGTGCACTTCGTCGACGTATTCTGCTGTGACTTGGGTCATATTTCTCATCTCTCTTGGTCATAGAAAATGAGTTTTCCACCAATGCGTATATTGGCATTTCTCCTATCCTGTGATTAAGTTGCTCTGAGACTTCAATAGAAATCATGGGACCGAATCATGAATTCGAAAGTCGCTTATAGATTAAATGGCTAACGGATGCTGATGAAATGGTACAATATACTGAATGATCCTCTCTTCTATATCGTCAATTTTAGCAACATTCTCAATTTTTTTAGGTGAGAGATGTGATGAATATATGGAGAACGATGCGATTTATGTTTTCGAAATGATCGTATCAATCCTTGGGACTGATTTGATAATCTAACCAGGCCTACTTTTGCGAAAAATTCCACGTGGAAAAGTGCATAATGAAAGTCAAATTTGCGGAAGTCGGGCAGCCTTTCTTTGATGTCGAGAAATGGAACAAAATCTGGTCATCCCTAGATATATACTTCGACATTGTATCCGTTGAACGTTCCGCTCAACTATGTCGACTAAAACATGCATTCCTTCGGCTTAACTGGAATGTTATTGTTACAGATTTCTCCGTTCTCGTGGTTATAATGAGTTCGATTGGACCGCAGTTACCCCCCGGGTTGGAGACCAAAGTTGATGACTCAGCGAGTGATAGTGACAGTGGTGAATCCGACAGTGACATCATCGGCCCGAAGCCGCCGAGCTCTTTTGAAGCCATTTCTTCAGCTAGTTCAGCTGCGCTGTCGATAGAACGACGACAGCTTGTCATGAAGCGGAAATTGGAAGACATGGGGGTGATTCTCTCACGCATCAGACCGTGTTGAACGTGTTCTTTAAACGATTATTGTTGCATTCTTGTTATCTCAGGAAGAGAAGCCCCAAGGCAGAGAAACATGGATGCTGGAATTGCCGGATGAAAAGCGTAGCCTGTTGGGCTTGGGCCCGAGGAAATTCAAAACGAAAAATTTGACTGACAAGGATAAGGATAGATCATGTTGGACCGATACGCCTGCCGATAAAGCTCGGAAAGAAAAGGTACGACTTTTTTTTTCTTCTTCTTACTCATGATTCATGAGAAAAACATAATTTCAGCTTCCTTCGATTTCATCATTGTACAGTATTTTGACACTAAACCGAAAGTGTTCCACATTGAAATCGAATTAAAATTCGCTCATGCAAAAAATAACGTATAATTTCAGATTACTTGGATTTGCTCTCTCAGATTCCGCCATTGCTCTCTGACACTAAACTCAAACTCTTTGACGTTAAAATTGCATGGAAATTCTCTCACCAGAAAATTTGCGTATGCAACGTTCAAGTTTTCTTTCATGGGTGTTTCGGAGAGACAAAGCATTTGACGATGGTTCTTCTGGAGAAATTCCAATGAACAATCTCAAGTGACACACGATCTTTACAAATCTCATTATAGCGCGTGGTGCCATTCTTGGCAGTATTGGATTTTTTAGGCAAGTATTGGATACAACATATGTGATACATTATTGCAATTCTCAGAGTCAAACCTTGGTAAGCCGCCACCATTTGTTTGTGAAGTTCGTGGCGGGTTAACGGGGTTGGTGGTTTATCAAAAAAGCTAAAATGATATGAAATCAAGTATGATAGGAAATATAGTTCTCATTCTTCTAGAAAACAATCAAAAGAACTCTGGGATGCATAAATCATATCTGGCTAATGTTCCTAGTAAGTAAATTATGTCTTTTTTCTTGAAGACCTTTCTGAGAAACAGTCTGAGAAACATTTCTTGCTGGCGGGCTATTGAAGACAAAATTAATTAGTAGGAGCTTATTTTGGCTGTCAACAATTTTGGCGGATATTGCTTCAACAGGTTTTCAAATGCTATCATCATTGGAGAAGATTTATTTTTTAAAATTAATTGGCAATTGCCAGGGGTGGCGGCTCATCTGGGGGCGTCTTAATGGGGGTGTTTTGTTGTACTTTCATTCATTAGGACGCTGATCATACAGAAAAGCGTAAGGAACCGCCAAATCCTGAAGATATAGCAGCGTCTGCGAGAGACAAGCGACTTCAAAAAATTGCCGACAAGTGCAATGCAAAAAGAACCGAATCCCTTCTTGAGTTGCACAAGCGAGGAATTTCGTTGCCTGACAACGCCGCTGCTGAAAAAGTATTCTGCGAATTACATTGTTTATACGCTTTTTTTCAATAGTTTGGATTTTTCTCAGGTTTCATCGGCGAGTTTCTCGGAGTCTGATTCATCGTCTGAGGATGAAAAAGCTAAGCGGAAGAGAAGAAGAAAAGAGAAGAAGGCGTTGAAAAAACTCAAGAAAGAGCTTAAAAAATGTGAAAGGGAAGAGAAGGGCAAGAAGTCTAAGTCACGAGTAAACGAAAAATCTAAAAAGAAGAAGAAATCTGACGTGACCCCCGCTGTCACCGAACGAGTACCATTTGATAGAGAAAAAGATTTGAAATTAGTCCAGATTGATCCTGCTAAACGAGATGCTTTACTCAAACACTCCTCGCAGTTAAACACGAAGTTCTACACCGGAAAACAAAAGTTTTTGTAAATTCTGCTTTTGGTATTTTGCATAGAATGTTCGCATTTTTATTCATTGATGTCTTTCGAGCGGTGTCAGCTAATGATCTCTGAAATATTAAAAAAAGTTCTTTTTGCGTGTAGGTTCGCGAAATGTTGGCGAAAAATATTGAAACGGCGCATTTGGACGCCATTCATGACGTGAAGATTGATCCGTCGGGTACAGTGTTGGCATCGTGTTCATCCGACGGTTCCGTGAGGCTGACGGATGTTCAGTCTTCTCGCGTACTGGACGTTCTTCAAATTCACACCGCACCTGTTTGGTCCGTCAGTTGGGCGCCGCCGGTAAATTCTGAATTTCTTCCATAACGTAAAAGTGTTGTCGATGCCGCTGCGATGTACAGTATCATCTATCAAATTTTTATGCATCTCCCAGCTTTCTGTCTGTCTTCAACTCTGTGAGCAAATAATTATTTCATTTTTGGTGGTTTCTATGAAAGTTAAAATTACTGCATGTGATGAGTATAATTGAAAGTACAGTGAAATTGTTGTTCTTTGAGAAAACAATCAAAATAACCTTGGAATGCGTAAATTTTATCTACTAATGTTCCCAATGAGTAAATTATGTCATTTTACAGTTTTTTTGTATTGGAGACATCTCACAAAAAATTGAATCTTGTTGATGGGGTGTCAAAGACAAAATGAATTGGCAGGAGCATATTTGAGCTATCAATAATTTTGGCTGATGGCGTTTCAACAGGGTTTTCGGTGCTATCTTCATTAGGGAAGTTTTTTTTTTTTTCAAAATAAATGACAGTATCCGAGGGTGTCGTCTTCACGGCGGGTTGACTGTATTGAGAGAATTGTGGCGAAAGAAGCAATAGGCAGTCGAGATTATACGTGTAGTAATCTAATCAGACCTTCATGAAAAATCCGGATTCGTTCAACCGTTCTCGTATTTACAGGAATTTCGACATTTTCCCGCGTATAGTCGAATGATTGAGATACTGTATGAGTTATCCCAGCAATGCTTTGGATATGTTACAAAGTTGGTATAGATACATCTTGTGAAGCTTGATGGAACCGTGGAAAGGATCAAGTTCTTCTTTCCTGTCCAAATCAAGGACTCAGTCTTCTTTTTTTTCTGCGAAGGTGTACGGTAATCTGTTGGCCTCTGGTTCTTACTGTGGCAAAGCCGTCATTTGGTCGTCTCTCCCTGGACCGAATTGGAAGTTTTCTCCGCTCTACGAATACCAACACGGATGTTCCGTCAATTGTGTAGCATGGACACCAGCGCAGGCGAAATGTGCATCACTCGCTGCTGCCTGCTCGGACGGGGTTGTCGCCATCTTGAACCGCCGAGCAGATGGCTCTGGCTTCGAGGTTTGTGTGCAGAAAGTATATTTTCCCGAATTTCGAAAAAATACATATGTTGATGCTTCAAAATTTGGGCGATTCACTGCAGCGCTCGAGGAAGGTAAATTTTAATATTTGTAGAATTGAATGCCAAGCAGCGCAGTCTTACGTGGCCGTTGTAATTCCTCAGAACATGTTTCTCAGGGGAGGCAAATTAGTATACCAATGTTCTCATTGCCCAGTTCTCTTTTTTTTTTGGATTGTCAAAGTAACTGCACTTGAACTTCATGGGAATAGCAAACAAATTCGAGTGAGGGAAGGAAGCATTTTTTTGGAAAAAGAAAAATCTCAGTAAATTGTAATCGGTGATATTCTGGGCCTTAAATTGCTTCTAGGATAAGTTGACAGGATGTCGAAGTTGAAGGCAAGGGATTGTTTGTCCAATTGGTCTTTTGCTTCCTTTCAAAGCGCATCAAGTTGAATTTGTTATTGCTTTTCTCTTTCCTGTGTCAATAAGATAACAGCCAGAAGGCATCCAGAAAATTCGACTTATGTAGGTTTGAGGGGGCAAGCCTTTGAGTTGGGAACGTTTTAATGCATTGTTTCTAAAAGACCCCGATGAATAACATACTTGACATAATCCTACGTGCTGACTGACCGTACGCCGTCCCAAAGAATGTTTCAGCCTTGCAGGCGTAGTATATGTGATAGCTGGAATAGTCGCCGAGTGATAGGTGTTCGAGGAAAAACAACTGAAACATGAAAACGGTTTATTTTCGTCTCAGGTGGACAAGATTGTTGGAGCACACGGGGTTGCCTGTGCTGCGGTTTCCTGGTCTCCGACGGGAGAAGAACTCGTTTCCGGCGGCTTCGACAATCTTGTGAAGATATGGCGACGAGAAAAATCATGGGTCGACGTTGCGGTATTGAATGGACATGCTGGCTGGGTCAGAGACGTTCAGTGGTGTCCTGTTAACAACAATACACTGGCTTCATGCAGGTAATCCTCACGCGCAGTTCAATTTTTTCGTGCCTTTTTTGTTTTGTTTTATTGGCGAAAAACTATTTTCCGTTGAAACTTTGTTGAGAAGTTGTGTGAGAAGGGAAGGGTTCCGAATTTTCTCCGTCTTTCGCGTGCTCTTCAAGATTTTGTACGAAAGCCAGCCTCTGTTGTGGTTTGAAAACAGTGGGACCCCGACATTTGGACGCCCCAGCATACGGACAATTCTACTTATTAACACGAAACAAAAAATTATAATCCGCTCGACATTCGGGCAATGTATCGAGATATGGGCACTTTTCCAATATTATATTTTTTAATTTATGGATCTTGAATAGATTGAGCTATTTATATTCACAAAACAAAGCATCAGTTCAATTATAAAATTATTCATAATCGTAAAGAAGCGAATTGTGTGCTTCTGTCTTCCGAGAGTTTTTTCCATCATGTGTGCACAGTAGAGCTAGGCTTGTTCTTGTTCTTTGTTTACTGAGCTTCTTCTGATGCCAAAATATCTGATTCTGTTTGGTTTTCTTTTGCACAATTGAAGTGTTTCGAGTGACTCAGAGTTGAGAAAATAATGCTATTATATTTTTGGTGACTTTATCCCCAATTTTTGATGAACAAGAGAATCAATTGAGTTTGTTTCCATTGAAGTCTATGGGAAAACATCATAAGACAATGGATGCTCCCACATGGAAACATGGTTGAAGCACAAATTATGTCCGCATCTTGGGGTTCCAAGTGTTTTTGGTGAATCATATCTTCGAATCTGATGTGAATCTGCTATGCGCTGCTTCGAGGTTTCGAAAATAATCTAGGAATAACTTCGGAAGTAATTCATGCGTTTTCTCCATCGTTTCTGCTAGTTTTGAATTTTTTCAACGCGCTCTTGTTACGAATTCGATGCGGATGTATTCCGTTAATTTTCCACGGCCAACCGCGTTTCCGATGAAAAGTCTAATTTTTTTCTATGGCACTGGTTTTTTACTACTTGTTTTTCGCTTTGTCGTTTCAGTGACGACGATCAGGTTAAAATTTGGGAAGCGTCAGATCCAAGCCATGCTACTTGGACCTGCAAAACCATAGACTTCAAGGATAAAGGAACACCTTGGCACGTAAGCTGGTCGCTGTGTGGAACCTTATTGGCTGTGTCCAGTGGAGAAGGAACTGTTACCCTCTTGAAGAAATCCACGGACGGATCTGGCGAGTGGTTTCACATTTCCAAGTCAGAACGAGACAAGATGACGGCCAAGTCCAGCAGCGCGGACGTTGCTCATGTGCAAGCAATGCAACAGTGATGGTTAATTTCCCTGCGAGACGCGCGTCGCCTCGAACTTTGGGGGGGGGGGGGGGGGGGGGGGGGGAGGCGGGGGGGGGGGGGGGGGGGGGGGGGGGTGGGGGGGGGGGGGGGGGGGGGATTGCTGAATATTTATGTTTCAACTTCAGTCTTCTGCGTTCACCGCGCTGCATCTATTTTTTCTTCTTCTCGTCGTGATTGTCATGCTGGTGCGGAATAAGTGGAAACTGTTGCAGCATCTGTTGTCTATTTCCAGTAATTTTATTCTGTTTTGTGCAGATTCAGCATGTGTGATACAATTCATACAAACTCAGTCAAGGGCGTTTGATATTTAAGTAGCTCTTCATATCGACTTCACTTGTCTTCCGAGACTGTCGCAGTTTATCGTGGAAGTTGATCACTGCTGCGTCGTCTTTTCAGGGAATAATTCGAACGAGTTTAAGGCAAGATTATGCGAAAATTTCCGTGAGCGAGGCTTTCTTTCAGTTTTATCCGAGGTTGAAATTTTAGCGTGTCTCTCGCTCCTGCGACATTTCGAAGTATCTCTTGTTTATTCTGAGTAATTTCATTCTCATGTATGCAGAATTGCAGGTTCAGCCTGTGTGATACGAACGCAGTCATGGTCGTTCGATTGAAATCGCTCTGCATATTAACTTCAACTTTCTTCAAAGATTGTGTAGTTTCTCGCCGTTTTATCGTGCAAGTTGAGATCAACTGCTGCATCTGTTCAGGGAATAATTCGGACTAATTTAAGGAAATATCATGCGAAAATTCTGTGAGCGAGGTTTTTTTTTTTTTTTTCGGAGGTTGAGAATTTAGCGTGTCTCTCGTTTCTGCGAAATTTTTTTCCAGTTGCATCCCTCGTCACTGGTCTGAAGAATCTTTTCGGGGTTTCTTGGCTTCAACCTTCGTGTACCTTGCAGAACGAGGAGTTGGTTGTTTGACGGATGAAGTCAAGGTAGCCTGAGGTCATGAGGGACGCATTAATGCTATGTTTTTTTCCAAAAACTTTAAATCGCACTCAACTGAAAACCTTCGTGAAAACGGATGGCGTGTTTGGGCAAAATCGTGTTCCCCAAGAAACGATTCCGTGGATTACGAACGGATCTGAATTCACGCCTGTGCCGGTCAACAAGGGCCCTCCGGAATCTCCCTGAAAAACAAATGAAAATACGTCAGCAATTTTTACTGATAAGGTCTGCTTGGAGCCGCACACTGCAAGTCCGCGATCCTTTTGCGTCCTGGAAACACATCATGGTTTCTTTCAGAAAAGTTTGATGAAGAAACGACGCTTTCTTGCACTCTTCGTTTCGAAGGACTGCTCCCGATCCCTCCATCAAGATATTCGTCAGCTTTGGAAAGTACCCTGTGAGTGAATTTTAAGGAAAATTATCGCGAATTCGTAGAAGAAAGAAGTTCGTTCTCATCACGATTATTTTTGCGAACTGATGATATTCCTCTCATTTGTAAGGCTACATGATTTTCAATATGATTCGCAAAATAAGGGGTCTTGAAAATGTATGGCGTCGTCGGAATAACTTGAATTACAGTGTGACCTGACATACGGACGTCCTGAGATGCGGACGATTAGACTTGGTGACACTTACAACTGAATCAAATCTGCACAAAAACCGTACAATTTCTTAACATATGGACATTTCTTCAATTCTTTTTAAAAAATTGCACATTTCTTGAACACATTTTCTTCCACAAAAATGAAAATAAATTTCCATAATAGAATTAATGGAATTCAAAACAGGCTAATTTTGAAATTTTCTGTGTTTTCCATTATCTGTTCGAAGTATAGTAAGACTTGCATCTTTAAATCCTTTTGATGTCGAAAGACGAGATTCTGTGTGCTTTTCTTCTTTACAGTTATTTTCTGTCGTGAAGTTGAGAAAAAAATTCTATTCTATTCTTAGGGACTTTATTCCCAAGTTTTGATTATCAAGAGAACCAATTAATTCCATATGTTCCCTTGGAATTCTTTGGGAAAACATGATCTGACGTAGAGACAAGGTCCAAGCATCGATTATATTCACATCTTGGGGCCCCACTGCATATTATTGCGACCTGACAGGGTGGTGGAAAATATGCTCTTACTGATCGTCTAGTATTATAAATGTGGTTATAGAAGTTTTAAGAGTGTGATTGCACGATGGTCGACCTGGTGTCAAGCTTCCCCAGCCGACGATCGTTCCATTCCGGGAAACTCTGGATTGAACGTCATCTTGCGGGAGACACACTGGCGTGATTTGAGTGGTTGAAAAAATCACCGGCCGCTCCAATTGGATCAGACCCACGTCGTTTTCTGCCGATTCATCATCATATCGGGGATGTTGGAAAACCTTTGCTCCCCGTGTCCTATGAACACGTTTGTCGTCTGACTGATCATCCGTAGCATATCGACCCCCGATCACAATACTGTATTGTTTTGGGACCAACCTGCGATGAGAAAACACATTCTTGGGAATCAAATTTATCTTTTTCGTCTGACATTATGAAGTAAAATCCATTTAAAAAGAATCTCGTGTTTAAAATTTCGTTTTTACCAACTGATTTTTTTCTATAATCTCTTTGTAATGAATTTTCACCTTGATATGTGTCTATATGCAGGGTAATAATAATTATTTTGTTGATATTTTACGATATGGAAAAATCCAACTGGTGCCTGATTTAAAACCTTTGAAAATGTAAATGCCATTATTTTGGAACCAAGAATGTTGCATTCCAGGAAGTAAATAAATTGCATTTGGATTTATTTTAGTATTTAGATACGACTAATTTTTTAAGGATAAGTATGTTTGGGAAGATATTGCTCTGTATATCAGGGCGAGAGATCATACAGTTCATGATGAATAAACGATCTTCTTACACATTTATTTTCTGCTCATACTCATAGTTTCAGCGCTCATACTTGCGTTAGATTGGTAAATTTTCAGAAAAATCTGGTATGGGGAGGTCTGAAATATAAGAGAATTGCGTTGCACATTTTGAATTTTTCATCATTTCGTCTAAATTAATTGAAAATTTGGGCAATTCTTCACATTAACTGTCTGGAGGTTCTTTAAATGTTCAAAGCATCAATTACACGTTTCCCACAAAATATGCTGCCCTCACCCTTTGACGCAGTGACCAGCTGTTATAACCCATTCAGGATGGATTAGAGATCCAGTGCACAAAGCATGCTTGTCCTCGTCAACGATTCTGGCCACAAAAGGATATTTGCCAATTGGAACCTCTTTTCCGTTTATGATCCTGTCTTTTTCGTCATCCCAACGTCGACTGATGACATTTCTGGAAGTGATTCTAGCTGATGCTCTTGCTGAAAGACCGCAATCTGAGCAGCACAAGCGAGACGTTTTGTGTATCAGAGGTATTTTGTACTGTATACCCTGATGTAGTTGGCTGAATAATACATAGAAGGGGTCCGAACAAAATTTTCTCGGGATGAAAATTCAAGTGGTTTACAATTGAGCTGAGAAATAATAAAATTCCCCGAAAAATTATATTATGCAATAATAAAAATTAGCCCTGTTCTACACACTTTTTTGGAAAATGTTTGCAATAGCCACCCTGGCAGCTTTCTGCCATTCACTCAGAAAATGAAGCACCCATCCTGCAGACATTTTTTGTGTGCCCCGGATTTCCCTCCAGAATTCTTGAAATTAACATGGCTCTGATTTCAAGGGTTGCTGCCATTAATTGATCAATAATTCTGCCATTTTCATGAACAGGAAGTTGCTATGAAAATCAATTATACAGGATTTGTATGAGTTTTAGCATGGTGCAAAATGTGCACAATTGACAGCATGAAACATTGTGATTTCCATCCCAAAAAGGTTAAAGTGGCATGAGCCATATATGCATGCACTGTTCTATACAGTATATGGCATATGTGCCATTCTACACCCAGCAAATAATTTGGACGTTTCAAAACGCCTTGCCAGTGGTATGCAATGCCATTTTGGCATGAACGTTGCAAAAACGTCATCTTGGTCGCCACTTAACGGGTCGGCCCTGAACGTTGAGGCAGATGTTAGCTAATGCACTCTCATACCGTTGGCAACGGCGTTCAAAACCGTTGACGCAGGGGCAGGCGGACAATTGCAGCCACTAAGGGAATGGCGTTGGCAAGGGTCTGGCAAAGCGTTGAGAAACGCCACTTGCAAGAAACATTGCTCAAACTGCAGTGGCATTCACCTAGAGTATATATTATGGACCTAAAAACAATATGTACATTGCTGAATATTTAACCTTTGATGCTTCCATTGCTAAGATATGTAATACAACTGGAATGCTTGCAGAACACTTGAATGTTGGTGCCAATTTGATGCACTGTGTAATAACAATGTATGGGCAATGTTTAAACAATGTTGAAGCAAGGTACAAATGATGTTGAAACAATTTACAAACGATGATGAAACGATGATCAAACGATGATCAAACGATGATCAAACTACGTTGAAAGATGATCAAACGATGTTGAAAGATGATGAAACGATGATCAAACTACGTTGAAAGATGATCAAACGATGTTGAAAGATGATGAAACGATGATGAAACGATGATCAAACTACATTGAAAGATGATCAAACTATGATGAAATGATGATCAAACAATGATTAAAATGCTGATGACAGGACATCATGCAATATCCCAATTCAAAATGCATAAAAAAATTATTATTCATCAATACAACTTCTTTCCCATTCACACAAACCCAGACACACACATGCACACACACACACATACACACACACACACACACACATACACACACACAACCACACACAGATAAAGCAAGACAAGCATTTGCACATTCAACACAAGGAAAATTTTCCAACCCTCCGCGGATTCGAACCGCAACCCCACAACTAGGAGCGCGCGGCTTTACCAACTGTGCCAACAACGCAGCATGTCTCTACGTTCTGTGCTCTAGGGTAATATACTACATTTGCCTGAATAATTGCCCTCCATTATTTTCAACAGATGGCCCTGCAAATATAATCAAGAAAGGAATGTTCTGGAAAGAAAGAGAATACTGAAGTGAATGCTGCTGTCCTTCAGGTTGATTTTGTTGAGAAATTCATACAAGAAAAAGAAATTAATAAAATGCTGTTCAAACAATGTTCAAACAGTGTTCAAATGATGTTCAATGATGTTCAAATGATGTTCAAACAATGATCAAATAATGTTAAAGCAATGTTCAACTGATGATGAAGTGATGTTGAACACATGATGTTTGAAGAATTTTCAGATGGTGCTTATAAATAGCAGAATACTCTAAAACCAATTTTATTAAATGATGTTTAAAACATTTATGTGAAACGGGAAAATCAGATTGAATACAGTATATATCAAATTTTTTCTATTGTTCACAACATCATATATTTGTGATTTTATAATGCACTCACAAGCTATGTCCAATGTAAATAGGTATGCTACTTATACTAAATGAGGTATTTCCATATTCATTCAGAAAATGAAGAGCTGGAATATTTTTGTGGTAAAAAAGGAGTTCATGAATTTATTTTCTATGATTAAAACCTCACCTCCATTTCAATCATTCAAGAATCACAGCTTCATCTGCCTTGATGTAATAGTTGTAGTAATATTTTTTCTTAAAAACTATTCTGCTACTGATGAATGAAAAATTTCAGCAAAGTTCAATGTTAATTTGCTGTAACAAATTCAAAACCAAACTTATTCCAACAGCTGGATCCAGCTCCAAAAAAGTGTTATATACTGTTAAAAAATAAAGCAATGATGAAAAATTCCCCCAAAGTTTGAAGATCTATAAAAAGTTCACTAATTAAGATAGAAGGGTCTTTAAAAAAAGCAAAATGTTCCCCAAAACAAGGGCAATCCATATGTTTCCTTAAACTAAACGATGAACGCGCGATGAACGCGCGATGAACGCGCGATGAACGCGCGATGAACGTGCGATGAACCCTCAATGATCAAGCGATGTTCAAGTGAACATCGCTTGATCATCGCGCGTTCATCGTTTAGTTCAAGGAGACATGTGGATTGCCCTTGTTTTGGGGAACATTTTGATTTTTTTAAAGACCCTCCTATCTCAATTACCAAACTTTTTACAGATCTTCAAAGTTTGGGGGAAATTTCACTCAGTTCTTTATTTTGTAATGGTTTTTAACAATTCTTCAAAGCTGAAACAGCTAGAACTTCAATTTTTGATTGAATATCACTGTGAACATCATGTTTTGCTGTGATGATCTTATTGTGCACATAACCCATCAATTCATTTAAGTCATTACAATTTTGGCAAAATCTATAGAAATTATGTCAAAAATATTGAACACCTTACAATATATATTTGTCTACATATTTGCCTTCCCATTGTGTCACTTGCACAAGTATTTCCTATAAAATATACAGAAAATAATTTATGACAAATGATGATGAAACAATGATGATTTGCTGATGAAACAATGATGATTTGCTGATGAAACAATGATAAACGATGATGAAACGATGTTCATTTGCTGAAGAAACGATGTTCATTTGCTGAAGAAACGATGTTCATTTGCTGTTGAAGCAATGATGATTTGCTGATGAAACTGTGATATGCAATGATGAAGCAATGTTCAACTGACGTCATTGGGTGAAACATATGTTATTTTATGCTGTATTTTATGAAGTATTTATTATGTATTTTGAACTGAGAAAATCACATTAAATGCAGCATAAAATTGAATATTTTTCTAATTAAATATATTCCTTCAGCATTATACTTTTGCTGATTTATTCTCATTTATTTCAATCATTCTAAAATTTCAAATGAAATCCCCTTATTTATTTTGCTTCAGCATAATCACTTCCCTTCCCATTGTCAACGCATTCCCAATGCAATCACCAACGCAAATGCAAATGGCACCCGTTGTCAATGCATTCAGAAGGGATTCTGCAATGCCACTGAAAACGGCCTCTCCCCGATTTTCTAAATCACAATTTGAATATGCGTTGCCAAGGTGCTGCCAATGCCACTTACAAATCGTCATTTTTTCACAACGTTGGGAGAATGCCATTGACAGCGCCTTCTCATTGTGTTCCCCCAACGTCAATAAAGAGAAGGGCGTTGGAGGCAATCAGCCCCAATGAGACAATGGCGCTGCAACGGCGTTGCCAATGCCAATGTCAAAACGTTCCCCAGCCCAACGCCCCCATTCTTTGCTGGGCATATGCCATGTGCAGTATAAGCAGATGTGCTGCTCTGTATATACAGCATGCACCATTATATATATAGAATGTATATGGCATGTGCCATATACAGTGGTACCTTGCACTACAAATGTAATCCATTCCAGGGCTACGTTCGTAGTACAAAACATTTGTTATACAAAACACGATTTCCCATAGACTTGTATGGGAAATCATTTAATCCGTTCCAGAAAATTTGAAAAAATCAAATTTTTTTTTTAAAAAAGGGAAAAAGAGCAGTTTTGTGTCTTAAACAGTAGTTTTATACAGTGGCATGATTAAAAGGATAAAATGAGGCTTTAATATAAATTTTAAGGAGGGTAGATTGCAGGTTAAAAAAAATTTTCAAGGGGATTATGCTTATAGAAAAATTTCTTTGAAAATGGATTTGGCTTTGAGCATAACCCCTGCAATTAAAATTCTAAGCTTGAGGTTTGAAAAACATATCCACAGGTTGAAATCATCAATGCACACATTTTTCAACATTGCATCTAGGGGGTTATGCTCAAAGCAGAACTTTTTTGAAAATGTGTCTGCTTTGAGCATAGCCCTCTTAGAAACAATAAATGTTGAAAAAAATCTAAGGGGTTAGGCTCACTTGGAAGCCATTTTTGACCCTGCAAAGCACACTTTCTGAGAAATTGACTTGAGCCTACATTTTTGAAAATTTTGGGGGGAAATCCAGATGAAACTTTAACTTCAAAGACAATTTTCATCTCAATATTTTTAGGAAATCTGAATTGCAGGCTTTAAAAATTATTCCAAGACAGTTATGATCACAGAAAAAAATATTTAAAGGTGAGGGTTGCTCTGAGCATAACCCTGAAATTCAAGAGGTAATTCTCAAAGCAACCCTTATTTTCAAAGATTTTTTGCTACAATCATAACTGCTTCAGAATAATTTTTAACCCCTAAAATCTAAGAGGTTATGCTCAAAGCAACCCTCACTTTCAAAGATTTGTTTCTTTGATCATAACTGCCTCAGAATAATTTGTAAAGCCTGCAATTCAGATTTCCTAAAAATATTGAGATGAAAATTGTCTTTGAAATTAAAGTTTCATCTGGATTTCCCCCCAAAATTTTCAAAAATGTAGGCTCAAGTCAATTTCTCAGAAAGTGTGCATTGCAGGGTCAAAAATGGCTTCCAAGTGAGCCTAACCCCTTGGATTTTTTTCAACATTTATTGTTTCTAAGAGGGCTATGCTCAAAGCAGACACATTTTCAGAAAAATTCTGCTTTGAGCATAACCCCCTAGATGCAATGTTGAAAAATGTGTGCATTGATGATTTCATCCTGTGGATATGTTTTTCAAGCCTCAAGCTTAGAATTTCAATTGCAGGGGTTATGCTCAAAGCCAAATCCATTTGCATAGAATTTTTTCTGTGAGCATAACTTCCATAAATGAAATGTAAACAAAATTGTGGATTGATGATGTAAACCTGTGAATTTGTGTTTGAAACCTTTAAACAGAAATTCACAGGTTTACATCATGAATTTGTGTTTTAAACATTTAAACACAAATTCACAAGTTTAAATAATCAATCGACAATATTTTTCACATTTCATCTAAGGAAGTTATGCTCACAGCAAAAATTCTCTGCAAATGGAATTTTTGCAAAAAAAAAATATATTTATTTTTTTTTAAATAAAAAAGTCCCGGGAAACAAATATTTTTCAACCTGCAATCTACCCTCTCTAGAAATTTTAATTAAAGCCTAATTTTAAAACTTGTTTTTAGCAGAACCCCCTTAGATGCACTGTTTTAATAAATTTCAATCTGATGAAGAAAAAAGTCTGCAAAGAGTGGCACAGTAGGATTTACCTGGATTTTTTATGCATTTTTGGGATTACTGATTTTTAAAAAAATTCTGTGTTAAATAAAATTCTTTTCTTCACCATCAAATACTGTATTATTATTGTGTATGATTGTTGTAATTTTTTTCAATTTTTTACAGCAATAATAGAAATTTTCAAAAATTTTCGATTTTTTCCAATATTTTAGGTAAAAAAAAAACGTTTGTTATGTGAAATTTGTTCATTCTACGGGGCTGAAAATGGCGGATTTTTGCCAAAAAAACATTTGTTATGTGGAACGTTTGCTCTATGAGGTGTTCGTAGTGCAAGGTACCACTGTATTGTATGTAGCGCATGCCACATATAGAATGGCACATGCCATATATAGAATGGCACATGCCATTTGTAGAACAGCACACACCATATAAAATACAGTACATGCCCATTTTACTTTTTGGCATGGAAATATCAAATTTTCATGCAATTGTGCACATTTTTCACCATGCAAAAACTTGTGCAAAATCAATTACACAGTTTTTGTACGAGTTCTTGTAAGGTGTGGCTGCACAGTTGTGCAGCAGCACAATAATGTAAGAACATGCATATATGGATCATGCAAAAACAAATGTGGATAAACAATACTGTACAGCCAAGCCACACCCATTATATGCAGGGATTATTCAATTTAAACAACATTAATGTAATTTAATTCTAAAATTGACAGACTTCAAGTCACCATGAAGGATGGACAGTTGCCAGAGTCCAGGCTGTGACATATGAAGCACAGTCCTGAATCCCAGAGCAGATCTACCCTCTGTGATTTGCTGAGTAGAATGATTCTTGGAGCAGAAGAGTTACCTCTTTATGTGCAGATGATTTTAGCTATTCCTACTGGGGTAATATTTACCATAGGCCCAAAGATAAAGATGAGAGATTTTGAACAAGGACAAACACTAATCCCTCAAGAACTGATACCCAAGAATTTAGGCCACTAATCCATGTGCAAGGACTGGAATTTTTAGGAGTATGAGACCTGAGGATTCATGCCCATTCATAAGGCTGGGAAGAAAGGGGGAAACTTTTCCAGCCTTATTGGTCATAAATCTTTGGGTCTCGCAATGTGTGAGTACTTGCATGGGGATTAGTGTTGTCCTTCTACATAGTAAAAGCCCTAACATTGGGCCTAGGGTGGATTAACCCAGGGAAAGCTAAAATTATCAGTAAATAAAGAGGTACCTCTTCTGCTCCAAGAATCATTCTATTCACCAAATCTCAGAGGGTAAGACCTGTGCTGGGGCTCAGGACTGTGCTTCATATATCGCAGCCTGGACTCTGGCAGCTGTCCATCCCTGATGGTGACCAGAAGTCTTAACCAATTGTGTGAAATGAATTTTGAATTGCATCCACATCTAGTGGGTAAGACCTGCTCTGGGTTTCAGGACTGTGCCTCATTTATCAAAGCTGGGAATATCTGGCAGCCAAGCTGTCCATCACTGATGGTAACCTGAAGTTTGCATCCAAATGCAGCCTGCACATGTCAAAGAATCAGGAGTTTTTGAATATGTGTGGACTTCATTTGGATATGCATCTACATGCAATGTTGAGTAAAACTCAATTCAAGAATTCTTCAACCAACTCAATTATGCCATTTTTGCAGTGTTCTACAAACTTTGAAAGTTGAAAAACTCCTATTTGTTTTGTAGAAAATATTCATAATTGTGGAATTGAAAAATGTAAATAAATTTTGAAAATTCTTTTCAACTTACAGTAATTCTAAGAATGTTCTCAAAATCATTCATTTGATAAAATGAAAGTACTGGAAGCAAATATTTCAAATGATTTTATTTTTCTGATTTAGCCCAAAAATATTTCAATTTTTGGATGATGATAAGATGGTATAGTGCTGAAAGCCTTTGAGTTCATGTCAGAGTTTTTCACCCAATTAACAGTACAGTACAACTGAAATTTTTAAAAATTCTTACAGTGCAGAAAAACATGCTGATGGATAAAACCAGAGAACATTTTTAATTTTCAGTTTGGCTTACAGTTTGGGCTGACAAGTTTTTGCTGTGACATTGGAATGTAAATCTTAACAAAATGGAAAAATTTTCACTTCTCATCATGACAAAAATTAAAAATTTGAGCACATTATGTGATGTTAAGCAAGGGTGGCACTAAGAAATCACTTGTATTGTTATTGTTTGAGAGGGATTGTATAATATAGCTGTGCACTACAGTACAACCAAAAAACATCATGTTGGCTGCGTAGCCTAGTGACTATGGTGGTGTGAGTGCACAAAAATTAAGAAGGGCATGCACCATTTTAAAAATATGCTGCAAAATTGTAAGTGTGCTACGTACATTTTTGATCTGCAGCTCTGAAAAATTCAAAGCAATGCATGCCACTAAAGAAATGGCCTGCACCACAAAAAGTATGGTGCATGCCAGAAAAAGTATGGTGAGTGCCACAAAAAGTATGGCATGCATCACAGAAAATGTGGCACATGCCATATATATGGTAAATGCCACTTTAATTTTTTTATACATAAACATAATGCCCATTGGTGTGTTGTTTATTTGTCATCACTCATCAGTGCTTATAGGAATATGCCCAGCAAATAATTTGGGCGTAAACCGCTAGGGTTTACGCACTAAAAACGGCCTTATAGGCATCCAGGGTGGACGTCTATCCAGGCGGCCACTGAGACCATAAAAAGTGGGTATTATACCCGCCTGGAGAGATGGGGACAGGATTGCCGCTTCCCCTGACGGTTATCCTGGCGGTTTGGGCGCCCCCCAGTATTCCCGCCAAGATTCCCGTTTTTTTGACGCTGTTCCCTACGGCGTCAGTGAAACTATTTCAAGAAAATTTTTTTGGCTGCTATGCAGCTCTGCATTTACAATGCCAGTACACTGTACTAGCATTGTGAATGCAGGGTGCATAGCAGCATGTTAAACACACACACACACACGCACAC